TTTCTGTCTGTCTGTCTGTCTGTCTGTCTGTCTGTCTGTCTGTCTGTCTGTCTGTCTGTCTGTCTGTCTGTCTGTCTGTCTGCCTGCCTGCCTGTCTGACTTTTTCCCTACACCAAATGAACATTACTCTTTATTCAGACAAACGATTCCTTAGCAGCAATTAGGAGGACACCGTAGAAAAACTATATTTCTTAAGAGTACGTAAAGCATAATCTTGCAGTCTTGCCTTCTCTGGTTTTACTGCATAAAGGAGAGGCATTTTACACCCCCAGCGACACAGTTCGGATCCTTGAAGAAGCGGGCCTCCGACCCTGCCTGTCAGAGAGGTTGAGAGGTGTACAACAACCTACAGAAAGATCGAGACACTCGATATAATTCCTCATTCTCGGGAATCGAAAGCGAGTCTCCTGCGTATAACAGCGAGGTGCCTAACCGCTACACCACAAACGCTGGTCTACGTAAAGGACATTATATAGACCAGGACATCATTACGAAAAATTTATGAGACTCGAATATCCGCAGAGAATCGAAGTATGAAGAGAGCACAAAGCTACTGCCCCCTTTCCCCCCATTGTCCTTTAGGTTCGTGGCCATAGCACCTTCCCAATTCCCCTGATTATATTCAACACTATCAGTGCTCGTCATGAACGGGCGACCCCACCGAGCTGTGCGTTGTGTTTGTCCAGTGACCAAAGTCTGTGTTCGGCCTGATCCCGGTGTCAATGGAGCTCTTTGGCCGATGATCCAATCCAATGAGCTGTCGTCGGAGCTTCGAGTGGAGATAAGTTTGTGGCACCCCCCGCCCCCTTAAATATTGACAGCGTTTTCCAGTAAATCAAAGAAGCATACCAACAAAGAGCGGGCTATTGAATTCCCAAGTTTGTAAAATGTTCAGGCGAAAATCTATTTAGCTTGAAACTTTAAGGTCAGAGGAAAATACATCTCTGAATAAATCAAATCATACCAACAAAAAAAAAAAAACCCCCAACAAAACCAAACACACACAAAAGTATGAGTAAGAGAAAAAAAAACGAGTGGACACAATGATATACATTTTCAGTATGCCACCACCAAAAGGTGTACATCATCCTGATTGGCGGAGTTCCACTTTACGCCATATGTTCTGGTGTAGCCAAAGAGTGGTAGGCCTATAATATCCTTTTCCCATGTGTACTTAGTAAGTCTTCCCTCATGCTCCTTTGTCAACCAAATGTCTCGTAAAACATCACCAGAATAAATACCACAAAATCTGAAACAGTGGTGCCAGGTTTCAAAAACAACCCACGTGCGTCTTGTGGTGCAAGAAAAACCGATCAAACACCCCAAAAAATAGGAATTTCTACCTGTACGTACAAACGGTGTGGAAAAAATATGTACGAAGTAGGCTACTAGATCACTGCGTACATTCGGAGCGCAAAAATTGATGTAATAAGTTCCAATCTGATGCCACAGGAGTACCTTCAGACTATGCATTTACATAGTAATATCTAAATAAACAGATATTCTAATCCTGGCCTACTTATATCTCTCAGCTTTACCTCCAGCAAGAGAAGCCGGTGAGGCCGCCAGGAAAGGGTTCATGCTCCGTCTGTGTCCTGCCTGGCCACACTCGGAACTCCCTGTTCTGTTCTGTCTGACACAGTCATGGTCACGTGGTACTGAGACACTCGCCCTTCACACTAGCCAGTCCGACTCGCTACTTCGGTACACGATATTCCATGTGTGGGGGCAGAACCGTCACAACAGCCATACGACTAAGAGAAAGTCACTGACAGGGTTGTCTTAAAGTGCGACATCAGCTTTGTCAGAAGAACCAGAACGTGTCTCACGCCAACAATTTCAGACAGAATTCGGAAGTCCATGAAGTTCTTTTTTTATATAGAAAAGGGCCGCTCCCAGGCAAGCGAATCCATGTTTCAATCTGCGTAATTTTAAAAACTAGTGACCACACCCGCTTCAAAGTACTGGCATATGTCAGTTGATAGCTACATAAAACTCAGCAATTAATTGTAACACAAGAATTTCACTTTGCCTTCCTAGACACACTGGGGCAGAAACCTATGCTAAATTGCATAAAGCAAACGTTTACACTATGTGTGATATGATTTAACAACCTTTCAAAACAGAAAAAGGTACATTCTACTACACTTCAAGTTGAAAATCCCATAATTTAAAATTAAGGCTAAAACATCCTTTACGAAATTCACAGTTACCACAATGATCAGTAACACTCCGCTCTAATACTGCATAATGAAAATAGTTGACCACCACAGAAAACAAATACACGAATTGAGAGAGCGCTGTCTTTCATTAACACCGACCATTTCCAACTCCTTGAACAAAACAGCAAACGACTACAGCTGACATGCGCACTATATACAAATTTACTAGCCATACAGGACGATAGTTCGAAAGCACAGGTGCAAGACTGAATGGACCTTACCTCCAATAGTTCTTTATCATGTTTGAAAACAGAACCCACCTCAGAAATATCACCAAGTCACCGAGTCAATGATGTGACTTTATCGAAACCAACGAAAGTTAATCCTTCCCTGCTAGCTGCAAGTATAAGAGAGTCTCAGTCACGGAGAAGTAATGTCTACGCAGCTACCCACAACGGAGGAAGAAAGCACTGACTATAATATACACAGTCTCAATAATGGCATATTGATCACTGCATTGCAACGGCTTCATGGGAACTTCTGAGGGCCACTATATTGAAGATCGTTCATACCTGAACAGCGACAGAGCCATCCAACGTCTCGGTTCATAAATTTTGTCACGCAAATGTTTGGTTTATTCGTTGTCAGAAACATTTTGTCTGCATTGAAAGGATTCGTTCCACAAAAAGCCATTCACGGAATAAGGGAAGTATCGTGTACTTGTAGTTTCGACAGCCCCCCGGGTAGAATGTGCGTGGACGTAAAAGCGAGTTGAGATTGGAAGAAAAAAAACAATGCCAAGCTACTCAACGTCAACAGGTTTATTACGCATAGAAAGCTACGTCCTGGTGTCTGTGGTGTAATGGCAATGCTTTTCACCTTTGCAAGCAGAAGACGTGAGTTCGATTTCCAAGATTGGGAGTTACTTTATCGAGAATCTTGGTCTGTCCAATGGGCGCCGTATTTCATTCAGATAACATGATTGCTATAGTATACTTCTCCTATCTTTAAACTAGTGAAATAGTAAGACCGACAATTTCACGAGGGAAGCAGTATTAATCCTATACACTGCAAGCCTTCTCTATAATATTCACCTGATAGGAATAATGATGATACAAATTGGTTTAAAAGAAACTGATAAGGAGAAATGTGTTCGGCAATACATTACCAATACTGTTTACATGTTTACTATTTGTAAACTTCCTATAATTACTTTTAAAAAATAATAAGACTTGTATAATCTTACAATCATAGAGCATTGAAAGTTTTTTTTAGGGTGCACAACTAGCTTTTACAAGCCGTGATAAACGCCACAATTTGGCACAAAATGTAAGGACTACCGTTAACACGCATATATTTGCATGTAACATTAAAATACAATTAAAGCATGACGTTAAACGGTGCTTTTCTAAGTTGTGTTCCGAATAAGAGCGTCTTTAAATCAAAAGCTTCCTGCTAAAATGCCGTGCCCCGCCTTCCAGGGGCTTGCGTGGGGGAAGGCATGAACAGATCAATAGGCACTAATATGCTTACACTAATTACGCACGGTCTGCGGTTAACAACTACTCCGTGAACACGATTGACTTCGATAAGCGGAGCAGCGGACAGGCAACGATTTAGACCTACAGCTCGACTAGACGGTCAATCTTCGGAAATCTATTTTGTCTCTTTCGACATTCGTGCTGAATATGCATGTAAAAACGCACGACGCCCCCCCCCCCCCCCTCCCTCGGACCGTTTCCCCCAACCACCCACGTCTGAAGACATAAACTGACCAACTTTTTGCACTGGGAAATAACAGAGGACGGGGTAATAAACGGTATCCTTCGCCTGCAGCACGTTTTTACACCTGCTAGTGCTAGTAAGAACTACGAGCAAGAAAAACTAACACCAGCGCTCGGGGTAGACAGGAGACACATCTCAATCATACACAGGAGAGCACAGGATAGCAATAACAAAAAATTTAATATATGGGAATCGTACAAGGAGATTAAAAGTTCTAAGCTCCTTGGAATAGTAGCTATTCGACAATACTCTTTGCCCTATCAACTGGATACGTTTCAACCACACACTCAGCAAGCTGAAACTTTGCCAAGAAGACCTATTGCGTCAACTACAAACCAAGGAAAGGCAACATAGAAAATAATAACACAGCACGAAAGTCCGTTCTATAAAACCACCAGAACAGTGTTTTCTATCGCCCGGCACTTGATCAACTTCAAAACAACACGACAATAAGTATCACTATTAAAGAACCCACCAACATACACACGCTATACCATACTAATTTCGTGACTTACAATTTACAGACTCTTTTGGTAAAAAAAAAAAAAAAAACACCAGGAAGTGATACCAATTTCTGCTTGAGAGACCCTTCAGTCCAAAACGATATATATATATATATATATATATATATATATATATATATATATATATATATATATATATATATATATATATATATAAGTATACATTGTTTTAAAATCTGGTGCAAATGTTACTTTAATTCAAAATGAATGATACATACAAATTAAAATCATCGCCGTCGTCATCATCACCATCTATTTACAAACAACTGTTTTGTTTTGTTTTCCTTGAAGCTTAACGATTACTACCATGTTGAAAAATGTTCTAAGTAATTTACAAACACTAGGAACTAAATCGGGACATGGGACAAAAATAAAGTGTGAATAGAATGTCGGCAACATAAAACGACTCCAAATGTGAAAAAAAAAAAGTTCAAAAGTTCAAAACCTGAGCCAATGTTATCAGAGCACTGATAGTGAAACTGCAGCAAGCCAAACAATCTTTGCGCACCAGAATAACCAAGTCAAATCTTGTGCCTTTGGTCTGAATTGATAAGAGCACAACATAGTCTCCTGTAAGTCAAGATCAATGCGTTAAGTCAGATGTTTACGAGCTCAAAGACAGCAAGTTACTCAAACGGACTTCGTTACCCTTTCTCTTTTCAACGTGCCTGTAATGCTGCCATGGTGGTCTGGCCTATATCGCTACTCCACTAGCCATTTTTTCTCTACTGGACTGTATAAAGGGTTGGTTTTCTAAATATTGAACGTGTCTTTACAGTGCAATTTGCTGTTAATCAAAGGACGGAACGAACGTGTTTAGCCAAAATTGGAGTGCCACAAAAACAGCTTGCGAAAAATAAATATGATAAGGATCCAGGGGATTGAAGTTGTAACCACGACACAACAGAAAGAGAGAGAGAGAGAGAGAGAGAGAGAGAGAGAGAGAGAGAGAGAGAGAGAGAGAGAAAGAGAGAGAGAGGAAGAGAGAGTGAGATAGAGAGTGAGAGAGACAAAGTAAGATGGATTGGGGGGGGGTGGTAGACAGACAGACAGACAGACAGACAGACAGACAGACAGACAGACAGACAGACAGACAGACAGATAGACAGACAGATAGACAGACAGACAGTACGCCTATATCCAAATCCAATTATCTACGGAAAAAAAGAAAATATAACTCACTGAGACCACCACCATTCTGACCCCCAAAAGAAAAAACAATTGGCCCCATCCTCAAAACAATAAGATCTCTGCAGACATAACACGTTAGAACAGTTTTGATCACGCAGGGATACCGTTCTAATGAATGTCTCCTTATAAATAAATATACTTAAAACACTGCTGTATTTAAAAAATAAACACATATTTCATAGCTGGTCTTAACATTCTTGTGAGCAACTGGATAATAATCTAAAATTGCTAAACATCAAACAACTGAAATCAACCACATTCACCACTGTCACTTCCCTTTAGAAGAAAAAGGCACACCAACACTGTACCACGAAGGCATAAACTTTACGAATCACAAGGACGTGATAATATCATCTAGAACGCCAATAAAAACACTGACAGTAGATTCGCCTCCCCTAAGATAAGCCACGCACTATCCGTTCTGCCACCTGACCAGATCCACAATAAAGCACGCGGGTTAAGAGTTACCCCTTGCACCCCACTCTCGGACCCTTCAATCTTCCTTCTAAGGGGGGAAAACATTCTCGCACATTTCACTAACGATTGTCGATGTGGGAATCTATGTGGGAACAAATCAATCACGGTTCCGCCGTGACCTCTCGGGTTCGTCGATATTGGATCGCAGGTGGTGGAACAGCTAACCGCGTTTGCCACACAGAACCCTCCTAAAGGTGTGCTTGAGAAGATCAGCTGGGAGCTTGGTGCACCGAACCCACTTATCCCCGCCTACTCGGTCATAACGGGTTACACACAACTAATTGTTTTAGCAAGAGTATTACGGCACTTACAGCAGCAATAATGAGTGAATTAGGTCGTAAAAGGGCCGAAGATTAGAGGTGTTACAAGAGAGCAACAAACAAAAGAAAGAAAAAAAGGAGAGATAAGAACGATAGATCTTTGACAGGGAAGAAGAAGCAAACCACACCAGAGCGACCGCCAACCGCCCACCACACAATGAAGTGTGAGTATAATGCTACATGTAATAATTTCCAATCAGCGTTTTCGGTTATCAGTTTTCATGGAGTCCTTGTTGAGCGAAGAAGGGTTACACATTTTTTAAATAAAAAATAAAGAAATAAGGTGTTCGATTCCCGGCCCTGTCCGATATAACGTGTTCTCAAAAAAGGCCATTTTTAAACAACTGCAAAAAATATAAGGAATTTAAAATGAGCAAAGATGATCTGTGTGAAAGATGGCGGCTTGCAACTAACAGACTACAACTACAACGTTTTTATGCTCTCGCTCTCTCTCTCTCTCTC